GGGGACACTCAGCCATGGACGAGCCGAGCCTCCTGCGGCGCCGCGGGCTCCAGGTGAGTCCCCGCGCGGGCGGAAGCGCCACGGTGCCTTCGGGGCGGGGAAACTGAGGCCGGGAGCGGGGAAGGCCGGGAGCGTCCGATGGCGCCCTCCGCCCGCCTGCTGCCCAGCGCGTTTTGCGCGCGATGGGAAGGGAGGGGTCTCCGTTAGACGGGTGGGGAAACTGAGGCTGGGCCCCTGTGGTGGGGAGAAGGAGCTCCAGGGTCCCCGCACCACGTCCGCCGGAGGCGCCGAGCTCCAGCGGGTGCAGCCTCTGAGGTGGACAGAGCCAGCCGCCGGCCAGGGTCGCTGCTGGCAGCCAGTCCCCTGCCTCCGGTCCCTTCTACAGATGTGGAAACTGAGGCTCTTGCTAGGCCCCCCGCCCCCGCACCCCTGAGGCTGCCGGGCTGGGATTCCGTCTCTCCAGGAGTCCGTTTGACCGGGACCTGCAGGGTGTGAGCGTGGCGGCTTCTCCGAGCCCCCGTTTCCCGGTTTACCGCGTTCGCGCCCCCGGGGAGCGAGAACGAAAGCGAGTGCCGGGCACTCCCGGTTGTGGGGCTCTGGCAGGCGAGGCCTCTGGCCTCTCTGGGCCTCAGTTTCCCCGTCTGTAACGTCTGCAAAGCTCACGAAGGTTTGCCTGGTTGGGTCTGAGGCTGGGACCGCGCCGCCGGTTGCCCTGCATCTATTGAGCGCCTGCTGTGTGCGAAGCCCCAGCGGCCTTGGGCCCCGGGCGGGCGCGGGTGGCGCTGGCCGCAGGGTGGGTGCGGCCGGGCACAGGGCCGGACACAGGGCCGCGGAGTTTGGGGAAGTAAAGGTTGAGCAAGGCGGCTGGAGCGGGCGGTGGGGCGGGTCCCCCGGAGCCCGGGAGCGGAGACCGGGGGGTGGCGGTGTCGCCCGGGCCTCCGTTAGATGCGAGCCCGCCCTCGGCCTCTTAAAATAGAGACGCCGCCTCCGGGTGAGCAAACGGGGGCGCGGCTGACGTCAACAAGCGGGACCTGCTCCACGTGGGGGTAAATATTTTCAGATGACAGGTCGGTCCCACGGTACACACGGCAAAACTGAGGCCCGGTGCTGCGGGGCGCCTCTCAGGGTCAGGGAGGACCGGGGGAGCGGCTGGCGGGTGCAAAGGCCCGGGGGCGCAGGGCCCGGGGGCGCAGGGCCCCGAGAGGTGTCCGGAGCTGATGTTGTTTGTAGGGAGAACTAAGGTCTGCAGCCCGCGTGGTGGCGCACGCATTAATCCCAGCCCTCGGTAGGCTGAGGCGGAAGGGTCCCCGAGTTCAGGGGCAGCCTGGGCTCCGTGAGACCCTGCCTTGAAAAACCCAAACAGCAAAACAATCCCGAAAAACCCATTTCTCAGAGCTGGGTGCGAAGGATAGGGGTGAGCGGGCGGCGAGAAGGCTCCAAGGGTCAAGGCGCTTGCGACCAAGCCTGGAGACCTG